CGCCGCCATCTTGAGTGAGGGAAGCAGTGATGGGAAGGCAGTGACGCTGCTGGGCGGCCATTTTGGTTCCTGGCAGGAAGGGGAGTCGTGGGCTTCACTACGTTGGGATCCAAAGGGAGAGAGGGGCCATGTTTAGTGCGGGCAAGGTGCCTCAGCCCGCCCCGGCAGGCTGTGGGGCTGAGCGGGGAAGGCAGCCCCACAGCCGGGGCCAGCCCCCGGGGAGCCCGCCCTGCCGCACCGGGGGGGCACCGGGCCCCGAAGGGCCCCAGCCCGGGGCTCGCAGGGCCCCCAGCCCCCCACTTTGGGAGGCCACCCCCAGCTGAAGGGCAGCACTGTGGGCGAAGGGTGCGTTTGCTCTGGAGGGAAGCAGTACCTCCAGTTTCTGGGGGTGCCCGTGCTCCCGTGTGCACACGCAAGTTGTTCCCTCCGTGTTCTGAAGATAATCCTCTAACCCTCTTCCGAGGTGAAAGGCAGGCTCCTGGAGCTGCGCCTGCAGCCCCGCCGGTGAAGTACGGGGAGGCCGAAGGGAGCTGGGTGGGATGGGGCAGCAGGCCGGCCGGCCTGTCCTCCCACTTTAGGCGGGCCAGGGGGTTTCACCCGGCGATCACTGCAGCAAGCCCAAAGCCGGGGACTGCAGGAAGGCGTACGCCAGGACGGCGCTCAGGCTTGGCTTAAACCTCATCCTCAAGGGATGCAGGAAGGCGTACGCCAGGACGGCGCTCAGGCTTGGCTTAAACATCTCCAAGGGACGAGGAATTTACCCCTTCCCTTGGCAAAGCTGTTCCAATGGTAAATAATATGTTTGTGTGGAATTTTTATTCATTTAATTCAAACACCAGTTAGACTCTGAGAGCTGCTGAGAAAATACCAAGGAAAAAGAAGCCAGTGATGACCTTCAGCGAATGCTTTGCTTCCTCGGGACCAAAATCAAATGTTACTCTTTCAAGCAAGACTTGCACCTGTAGGCCGTCACAGCTGAAATACAACCATTGATTCATGGAAGATATCACAAGATATTAATAACTTGCTTCAAATAGAGACTGTACATGTGGAGACAGGGAGGTACCAAACCAAATAATACCACCTGCTCCCTAGTTAGCCAGCACTCGCCCCTTCTCTTTCAGACCTGCAAAAGGGCTTCTGTGGCCCAAAGCTGATCTTTCCTCTTCCAAACTGCACTGTTTGGTCCAACAGATGATGCTACATCTCCTTATTCACCTTGTGCTAGTCTAAACATTCACTCATCCAACTGCTACGTCCTTCCCCTGGCACAGAGGAAAATAAATCTCTCCAAACTATCCGTCTTCTAAATGATAAATGTTCCAAGTAATTTTTATTTAGAATACAAGAGAGAGGTACAAATGTATTTACACTGTGTACATATACAATCAAATAATATATAATATCAAAGTTTTGTAAATAATGTTTACATAAATATTTACAAAGTTAAAGTGACAGTTGTTTGTTTTTTTCTGGAAGTAAAACACAGTTTGTGAGAACTTTACACATCTTAGACTTACAATTAATATTAGAATACCTTCTTTTAAGCTTTATGATACACAGCCCTCCTCTCGCGTGTGGCAGGACTCCAGAGGGCGCTTAGAGTTGTCCTTGGGGACAGAGCTGGCCCTGTCCAGGTCTTTCTCTGTCCCCAGAGGGCAGTAGAAGTAACAGCCGAAATGTTCCCTCACGGCTGCGGGGAGCAATGGGGAGCAATAGGGAGCGGTGCTGCCGGGGCTGGAGCAGGCACAGCCCGGCAGAGCACAGGGTGCCCCGCAAAACCTGCCTGCGGACGGGCATTTCCAGCTGGCACGTCGTGCCGGGGGTGTCCCCGTGGAACGTGGCCTGTCCCCTCTGCCCATGGCATCGCTCGGAGGCGTCGGGCAAACCCCAACGCATGGCTCGGGCTGGAGGAGGGCAGGCAAGAGGATCGGGGGGGGGGAAACACGACCGTTTGCTAAATCAGGGCTCCTGAGGAGGGAAACGTGCTCCTTGGAAAGAGCCACCAGGGCCAAAGCTGCCCCTGGGGTGAACAGGCATGAACGGGGTGGCCGCAGCAGGGCACGTGTCTCTGCTGGACGCTCGCTGGAGCAGAGGAAGAGGAATAAAAGCAGTTTTTCTTTCCATCAAATTATCTGTAAAACCCAGGCGTGACTCATCCAGGCCCAGCTTTTAGGCTGCCCCAGCCCTCCCCCAGTGCACCGGCAAATCCACACAGGACGTCCCGCTGTGTCCCTTCGCCCCTCTCTCCCTGCCAACCCCAGGGACCAGCGGCCCACCCTACACCACATCTCCCCGGGGAGGATCCCGCACGATGCGGCTGCACCAGAGGCTCGCAGAGCTGGGGGGGGAGGTCCCCTCGCTCACCGAACAGCCTGCCAAACCCCATGCAAACGGTGATGCTCCAAAAATAAACGAGCACGCACCCCCCTTCAACACACAAAGCAGCCCTGCCTCTGCCCCCCAGCTCTGCCAAGGGCCAACACCCCCCAGTTCATTGCATGTCTCAGCGCCAGTCTTTGCTGTCCGAAAACCCGCTGCCGCGCCGGGGCTTCACAGCACCATGGTGGGGATGTGATGGGCCAGGGAGGCGGGATGGGGCACGGGCAGGGCCGGCGAGTGAGCCTGCAGGGAGGCGTTGGGGGGCCGATGGCGGGCGCTTTTCTGGTGTGCCCGCAGCCCGGCGAGCTGGGAGTAGGCACTTTGGCAAACCTGGCACTTGTAGGGACGCTCGCCGGTGTGCAAGCGGACGTGGTTGCGGAGGGTGGAGGACTGGCTGAAGCGGCGGTTGCAGAAGCGGCACACGAAGGGCTTGTCCAGGGTGTGGATGCGCATGTGGGAGCGCAGGTTGCTGCGGGAGTTGAAGCCGCGGTGGCAGATGACGCAGCGCATGCGCCCCGTCGTGCTGGCCCCCGTCTCCACTGCATGGAAGTCCTCTGGGGGCAACAGGGGACAGTCAGGCACTGCCCTCCGGCACAGCAGCTCACCTTCTCCCCGAGTCCCCAGGGTGCTGACTGCTCTAAATAACCGGTGTGCCAGCGGACGTTGTGGCGGAGGGTGGAGGACTGGCTGAAGCGGCGGTTGCAGAAGCGGCACACGAAGGGCTTGTCCAGGGTGTGGATGCGCATGTGGGAGCGCAGGTTGCTGCGGGAGTTGAAGCCGCGGTGGCAGATGACGCAGCGCATGCGCCCCGTCGTGCTGGCCCCCGTCTCCACTGCATGGAAGTCCTCTGGGGGCAACAGGGGACAGTCAGGCACTGCCCTCCGGCACAGCAGCTCACCTTCTCCCCGAGTCCCCAGGGTGCTGACTGCTCTAAATAACCACCCCGTGCCCCCTTGCTGGCTCCTCTGCCCGCTGAGGATACCCGTGAGCAGAGACACCCATCCCAGGCAGAGCAGAGTCACAGGCTGGCACTTAGGGCTTTGGGATGGGGCCAGAGCTGGGAACGGGCTCATCCAGATTTAGGTGAGGGGGAACACTCAAGCCAATCTATCTCCCCTATAGATGGGCACAAAAAGTGCTTTTCCCCTCCCTCGGCTGCAAGTAGAGCTGGAGGCGAGCGCAGGATCACAGGCTGGCACTTAGGGCTTTGGGATGGGGCCAGAGCTGGGAACGGGCTCATCCAGATTTAGGTGAGGGGGAACACTCAAGCCAATCTATCTCCCCTATAGATGGGCACAAAAAGTGCTTTTCCCCTCCCTCGGCTGCAAGTAGAGCTGGAGGCGGTGAGCGCAGGCCCCCCCAGCTCACAACCGCGCTGCCCTGGCCTCCAGCCCAGGCTCTTCAGCAGCAGCACACCGTCCCTGCGTCGGTCCCAGCTTCTCCCCCTGCTCCACTGGGCTGTGACCCAGCTTGCTCAGAGGAGCATGGGTGCGGTCTGGCTCTGAGCACAGCATCCCCAAAAGTGCCCGAGAGCTCTGCTGCCTGCCCACGGAGGAGCACCTTGGGGAACCACCAAAACAAGCAAAGAGCGAAAGCCTGGTGAGAGACAAGCCTCCTGCAATGGTGATTTGGGGAAAGATCTGTTAAATGCAGAGTGGGGACGTAGGCAGCTGCATCCACTCGGCGTTTCGCAGTGCCTTCCTCCCACTCACACGCCTGCCCTGCTTCTCCCTGCTCGGCTGGGTCGGGCAGCAGCTACTGGCCACCACACCAGCAATAGCTGTGGGCAAACCAGCCCAGAGGCGACACCACGAATTACTGGGGACCTGCTCAAGCTGTATGGATCTGTCTCATAGTCCCTGTGTTTGTCCCCAGAGAGTTGGGGGATCTGACATATCCCCTGGGATGTCCCTGCCCCATGGCCACCCCATGGCCTCAGAGCTGGGGACAGGGTGAATGGAGAATGAGCAGGGATCCTGCACCCGTGGCTGTTTCCGATGTTACCTACCATGTTTGTTCTTCTTTTGCTCCTCTTCCAGCCCCGGCACGCCTGGGATACCCAGGAAGGTGTTGTGGGAGTTCCCGTACCAGACCAGCAGTTCTTGGTCCGGGGGAATCATCTAGAGAGAGAGATACAGATGGGGGTGTCAGGAGGGGACGGTGAACGGCTCCCTCTGCATCCTCGGCTGGTCACTTTGGACCTACCCTGGCCATACCCAATCTCCTGCCAGACCCTGCTGCCATCTGGGATCTGCCAGTGGTCCCCAGCACCCCCCAGGCAGGCACGGCATTGCCCAGGCTGCAGCACTGAAGGCGATGGCACGGCTCGGCACCATCCACCACCGGCACAAACCTGCACTGGGGTCTCCCCCAGGATGGGCCACAAGCAACATGACAGGCAAATAAGCAGCTACAAAGCACACAGATGGAGCTGGGGTCTCTGGAGCGAAGGACCCAGAGGTCCCTGCAGCTCGGGGAGATGAGGACATGGAGGCACATAGAGACACGTAGAAATAAGTCATTTGTGGGCCCATGAACTGCAGCGAGGCACAAGTGACAGAGACCAAAGCAGGGAGCCATGACACAGAGCCCCGGCTCAGTGCTCCTGCAGAGCTTTTCAGCTCTGGATGGAGCCATCGGTACCCTCCTGCTGTAGGGCAGAGGCAGCATCTCCCACCCGACCCTGCTAGGGCTTATTTTAGCAGGTGGAAATGCAGATGCGCCAGTGAAGGACTCGTCATCCCGGGGATCGGAGGAGAGCTCGGGGGCTGCTATAGGAGAGCGCGGCTCGGGTGCGAGATGCTGCCTACGTCCTGGACCAAAGCCCCGGTGCCTGCAACAGCCCAAGGAGATCTATAGGGCCAGGGAAGGGCTTTGCACCACCCACGCTCCTGTTTCCCTGAAACAATGGCACTTCTTCCCCTGTTGTTCCCGTTACGTTCCTGCACTGCTGGGGCGGCCGGAGCGAGCAGCCAGGAAACGCCGTTCAAGCCTCCCCACATGCAGCAGCCGTGGCTGAGAAGACGGATGCTCTCACACCGGAGCAGCTGCTTCAGGCTACGCTAATAACAACATCACTGCATAAAAAATACACATATTTTTCCCTTGCAGGTCCCTAGTGTTAAGAACCTAGTTTAGAAATGGGAAAGTCCCTTGTTTCAGAGGACAGCTTTCCACACACAGAGTAGTCCAAGAAAAGCATCATCCACGTGAAACACAGATCATAAGTTAGATGACCCGAGCGCTGAAAATGTGCCTAATTTTAAGCACCTGAAAGCAGTGAGAATTTGACTTCATATGTTTAAGTGTCCGTCTGCATAAAGACCTCACTGGGACTGCAGAGTAGGAATTTGGGAGGCAGGGGAAGCCAATATCATTTCGCACCCCAAATTGGTGCTGTTTCTTGGTGTCATTTTCTCTTAAAAGAAAATGAATTATTTTTAATACAAGCAAGTAGAATAAAATATCGCCAAAAGGATAAAACATATTGCATGTGTGCATACATGTGTTCATGCATGTTTATATTCTGCTGGAGCTGGTGCACATATGCCAGCAGCTGGTGAGCACGCATGTGCATACACCCCAAAGCAATTTAAATTGCCCCCCCAGAAATCTCATGGCTTTCAGATTAAAGGCCAAAACTTGCTGCCCTCACTTTAGTTTCCAGCAGCAGCAACTTGAAATTCCTGAGGAAGAGGATGGCAAAAACAAATTAGCAAGGAAGGGCAGGAACGGGCAAAACACATGAAAATATTAAAGGCAAATAGTGAAAAAGGCACCCAATAAATCTGATTTTGTGGTGGGTAGGTGAGAAAGGCATCCTAAGAGATACTATGCTGGAGTCACGGTGCAGCAGGGGTGGATGCAGAGCGACAGAAGCCAGGCAGCTCACGGTGCCCGCCGGGGAGGGGATGCAGCAGGCGGGGTGCAGGAGGCTGTGCAGGGGAGCAGGAGGCTGACAGTGCCCGTGCACGGACACATGTGCTGCTGAGAGAGGGCACTGCTAAGATCAGGTCAGTGTTTGCGTATCCTGCCTGAGACTGAGCTGTTCCAGCTGGTCTCGGGCTGGTGCTGCGCTCTCGGTCCAGGATTTGTGGTGAGGGAGGTGACAAGGCAGGAGCAGTGGGTAACAAGCGGGGAGCTCGCTCGGGTCCGAGATGCTGCATTTGTGTGCCCATGACTCCGCGCTAGGGGATTAACGAGCGGAGAGAGAACCACAAAATGAAAATCCTCTCTTGCTTTTCCTCTTCTTGAGTGCACAAACCCCAATGAGTTTGAACAAGCGGTCGGTTTTGGACTGCACGCCTGTGTGCCTGCAGGCACGTTGCACAGGCAGGAATGGGGACCCCATGAGAGATGCAGATCCTCGACCTGTCGTGCCCAGCTGCGACCCAGCTCCTCACACACTCCATGCTTCCCTTCCTCACGCTCTCAATATGGAAAGCCCCGGCCCCTTCTGTTCCTCCCGGCACGGAAGGACCCATGCCGATCCGGCAGCAGCGGGAGCAGGAGTACCGCTGGGCGCCTACCATGCCCAGGGAGCATGCCGCAGTGTGACAGCAGGCACCCTTCATCCCCACTTTCACCTCTCTGTTACTCGGGGTTCAGCACTCTCAACATTTCAACTTTGCTGCTTGTGCTGAGGGAATTAAACTCATCCTGCTCTGGCGCTCACCGCTTCAGCCCCGGGAGCAAGCCTGCAGATTGACTGTGACTGTATGGGGCCTCTACACACACCTCCCCAAATATCGGCTCACCTGCCCCATCATCCGTGCACGCACAAGGTGAGAGAAACATGGCTGTATTCCTAATTACACCACGGCTACCTGGAATTATTTTACTTCTTTGCATCATTTAAGAACAGTAATAAAAAGCAATTAAGATGCTGTCACACCAGGCACAGCTGCCCACAAGAATATCAGGTCTTATAATGGGTACAGCTGAAGCCTATGGAGGGGTGTCCAGGGTGGGGAGAGCAGCACAGAAGCACTTGGGGCTCTCACAGCGCTGCACGGGGAAAGGCGGCAAAGCCCTGAGGAGGCACGCAGGACTCTCCCGCAGCAGAAGAAAATACCTGTTCTCTTCTTACCCGCCCACTCGCCTTTCCCATCCCACTGAGGCAATCCCAAACCCAGCCCTGATGCTGGCTCAATGCAGGACTGAGCCGTGGTCCTGTGCCGTGGAGTATTTGAGCATCTGCTCCTCTGCAAGCCAGCGCAGGAGCCCAGATAGATCCGGGGAGCTGCCCTTGCCCACGGAACCAGCGGGCACTCGTGCTCTTTCCCAGCTAAGACCCTCTCCCAGCTGTGAGCAGCCGCGGGAGCCCACACTCCTGAGCGTGCAAGACTGTGGACCTGATATTGGAGAGGGACAGTCCCACAGTGCTGGTCTGGGATGGAATGGGAGATGTTCCCTCTCACGACTCTAAGCTGAAGCAGCTGCACAGGGACACCTCCCCGAGCTACCACCTTCCTCCACCTGCAACAGCATCGGGTTATGGGGACACCATACACAAGCAGGGCTGGTCCCCGCTGTCACTGCGTGACTTGTACGCACGTAGCATCAACGCTACCAGGGAGCTGGACACCAACCTCTATCCCAGCATCTCCCATGGGGAGCTGTGGGATGGGAGTACCTCCAGCCTTCACCCCGCAGCACGGCAGCCTGTGCCCTGGGACATCCCTGGGAGCCAGCGCCTGCCCCTGCTTCCCCGCTGGACCAGCACCCACCAGCGCTTCATATGGGAGTGCATGGATGAGCTGGGCAGGATGAGGCCCTTCCCCACGGCCCGCTGCAGACAGCTCGAGGCACAGCTGCGCCAGCGCCGCACCCTGCCTGCTCTGTAGCTCCCTGCCTGGCTCCAGCAGCCCCGATCCTCCTCTCACACTCCGTTTACAGCCAGAGCCGCTTCTGACCCCCTGGGCGAAAGCTGTGCAGAGTCAGGCACTGCCTGCACTCGGCACCTGGATTTCACAGAAACCCCCCAAACTTTTCCCTGCTACAGAGAAGCAGATTCTGCACAAAATCCCATTTTTCAAGAGAGCATCAAAACCCCGCTCCTGCCCAAAGCCCCGTCTGGGCCAGGATTGCAGCTCTTTTCATGCTTTACACCCCAAAATGAGCTTGGGCAGCGTTTGCTCTCCCTCTGCTCAGCACACGTCACCCCATGAGCCCACCGAAAGGGGAAAGAGAGGAGAAGGGCCACTCGCTGCTCCCTGGGGTCTCCCTGAACCCGTTGCAATGGCCTTTCCCAGGGGATCTGGGTGCCAGGGATGGCAAAGCCACCCTGTGCTCCCACAGACACCCCAGCAACGGCCCAAAGAACAAGGAAAGGTCTGTGGGGTGGGGGGGTCCCAGCACCCCGCTCCCCTCCTGTGGCTGCCCGGCTGCCTCCTGGCCCCGCTTACCTCAATGGCCTTGTAGAAGATGCTGTTCCCGATCTGGACCACCTCCAGGTTCTGCTCCTGCTCATTCCGGGCACATTTGATGTAGGTCATCCAGCTGCGGTGGTCCTCCTGGCTGGCATCGATGAAGTAGCGCACCGTGCCGTCTTCGTTGAAGACCTGGGAGGGGGAGAGAGCGGTTGGTAGCGATGCTGCCCACAGCGGACCGAGCCCCTCCGCCTCCTGCCTCTGGGATAAAGTCCCTGGCCAGGGACAAGCTCAAAGCCAGCACGGCCTCGGGGCTGACGCCCTGCCAGCAGCTGCTGCCTGCAGGCGGGAGATGCCCAAACCCTTCCTGCTCACGGTGCTGGACCGCGCATCTGCAGCGGGGCGGAGAAAGGGCGCCCTGCGCTCACCGGGCAGGCATGGCTGGCCCCACCAGCCCACGTCCACCCGGATAACCCAGCTCCCTGCCTCAGTCCCCCTTCTCGGCACAGCCCCACCGGCAGCTCGGCCCCGAAGGGGCTATTCAGCATCCTGCAGCTGCCCGCAGGAGCAGGGGCATCCCTGGGTGGAGGAGGAAGGTGCCTGCAAGACCTGGCCCTCAGGGGAAGATGCTTTGCAGGGTGACAGGAAAGGTGAGGCAAGTTTCTGTTAGGCATAGAATTATAATAATAATTAATAATAATTAATAATAATTAAAAAGTGCAAGTCTGACACCCAGTGAAACAAAAAAAATGAGGAAACCCCCTCTACTAGCTGGGCGTTAATCCCCCCAAGCCCCACGGCTTCACTCAGGGTTAACCGCACCGGCGCTGC